AAAACTATGAGGAAGTTTGGCAAGAGAGCAAGGAGCAAGTTTATTAGGGTAGTGCGGAAAGAGTATTTGGCATGATGTTAACTAACTTAGAGTCTAGTATTACAGGAAAAGAAATGGAACTGGGTAGAGTTGATGGTTGGGAAAAAAGAGATAAAGAGATAGGGATACCAAACAAAAGCAAAAGTCAGCAGGGTGGGAATACGATAGAATGAGAAATGGAGGGTTTAATCATGGTGCAGAATGCTAATGTGTAAGATTTCAGAGGCAAAATGTTTTCCAGTGATGCTGTAAGGGGCTGAAGGTCACTGGTGAAGAGAGTCAGAGTAGTGAATAATCTTTCCTGTGGACTTTCAAGGTCCTGAGGCTGATAGCATAAGATGGGGCTGGAGAGCCAGGTGCGTAGATCCAGGAGATACAAGGCAGAGACCACTAAGTTGATAACTGAGATAATTAACAAAAATATTAAGCCCGAGTCTGGCATATTTATAAGCCACTCAATAGATGTTACTTGTCAATAATCAAATACAATAAGGAGGTGGAATAGCTGAATGGCTTGGATCTTGCAGGAGGGAAGATCTTTTTTTTTTTTTTTTTTTTTTTTTTTTGAGTGCCAAATAACACTTGTTTGGAAGATGCAAGTGTGAAAGCTCCCTATTCTTAACAGCAGATGTTAAGTGGGAAGAATGGGGAAAATCAGTGTGCAGGGGGAAAGCCAGAAGAGCAAGAAGGTAGATGGAAATCCACAGAGATTCCAACAGCTTGGGATTTCTCTCCCTGTGATGGTGGGTTCCAGAGGACTCAGTGGGAGGAATGAGAAGGAGAGGGATGCAGGAAAGGAGAATCATGAGTATTGAGGGATTGCAAACAGTAAAACAAAAATCTTTAAAAAGGCAGTGTGCAGAATATGGGTGCCCTGATGTCTCCATACAGACCTAGAAGCCTAGTGGAGCTATCTTTGACCCTGAAAGACTGAGTCTTTTCAATTACTCATTGTTATCAGTCTTTGGCTTTTATGTTTCTGACTGGGAAAAAACCAGAATTGAGCAGAGAATTGGCAAACTTTGTTAGATGAGAAGGCAAGGTAAAGACAAATTTAAGCAAATGGTTTATTTAAGCTGGGTGATTAGATAAGACTTGATAGCTTGCACACAAATGAGTCTGGTACAGGTTAAGTGTCCTTTTTCCTGGGAATTGCATCAGTACCACTGTAAGTGGGGGTTTTGAGCATCCCAAAGCCTTCCCTCCAGCCACAGTTGTTGGTCGTTAGGAGGAAGCTTACCAGTAGATTCTCAGTGTTCCTTCCTCCATGTTGACCTGACCTGAAATTCTGGGTTCCTTTAATTTCAAGGCTGTGGTAGAGAGTGCTCTGTAACTATTTAAAATGTTCAGTGGGTTTTTGATGCAAGAGGTCTCTAGAGAAACACAATCCTCCTCCATATGGTGCTGTCATGTTTTCCGTGGACTAGTTGTTTTTTTTTTTTTTTTTTTTTTTTTAAGTTTGGAGTGTTCTGTTTTATTTATCTCATCTACTGCACTTCAGGAAAGTAAAAGGGAAATGAAATTAATTGCTTGAAATGCTTTTAAACAACTGTTACTGCAGCTGTTACTGCAATAAAAAGAGAATTTATGCAACCACTGTGTAAGAGAATATTTGTGTACATGGAGATAAATGACACAATGAAGGAGTTCTTATTTTATATTGTCCCTGAGCCTCCTTAAAATGAGAAAGAATTCCCTAATAACTAAAGTATTTAATTCAGCAGAAAATGTTTGAGACCCTTTCTGAAAAGATGTGGGTCTCTTAGCTTCCAAAAGCTTCCAAAACAAATGACTACAAATCATGCATGCATACAGCAAAACTGTCCTTTGACAGTTTGGAGACAAAAATTCTGAACTCAAGGTGTCCACAGGGCCGTGGATGAACCTTCTTGGCTGATGGTGTTGCTGGCAATCCTTGGTGTTCCTTGCTTTGAAGATGCAGTACTCTGGCTCTGTGTCTGCATTGAAGACATGGTGTTCTCTCTCTCTGTCCCTCTCTTTTCTTACATAGCCAGCTACTCCAGTATAACCTCGTCTTTAATAAGTAGGCCACAGTGACCCGATTTCCAAAGGAAGTCACATTCATTTGGAGTTTCTGAGAAGGACCATGGATTGTGGAGGGGGATCTATTCAATCCAATATGGGACTCCTAAAATTAGTAAAAAGTGACTTTCTCCTTCAGGAAGACGAGATGGAGACATCAGCACAGAAAACTGTTGTGCAAGGATGTGTGTAATGGTAATAGTACAGAATATTGTGAATGCATGGAGGAATTGATGAGTAGTTGTGAGTACAGGGTAGTCATGTAAGGCTTCAGTATGGAGTTGGTGACCAGCCTGAAGGATAACCAGTCATGAGATGGCCAAGCATTCTGGGATGAGAAGCTAGTGTGAGCAGCCATAGGGGTGCATCCATTATGTGGAATTTCTGAGATGCCTGGAGTATCTGTCTAGGGACAGCACAGCACTTGAGTAGGTTTCATGTATTGCAGTGGCCACTGGAAAGGAATGGAGAAATGAGAGGAGGGATGAAGTGAGAAGGAAGCCGGGAAAGTGATGGGGCTTCATTCTTTGTTTCTGTGAATGACCATGGCTCAGGGATTTCTGAGAGAGTCAGGGGGAAAGTTCCAGGAGTGGCAGGTGACCAATATTTCAGGGACTGGTAGAAACAGAAATGTTGCTTTGGATTTCAGTGAAGAAAAATGACAAAGCAGTTTTGCCTTTGGTCATAAGTTCTTGCTTTAGAAGATAGTTTCAGGGGCTTCTTTATGAGGGTGTGGAGAGAAGGTGGCTGCTTACATGGTGTTTGATTTCTGAGTCATCAGAAATACTCCTTTGACTTCCAAAATACCTCCTTGATCTAGGCAGTGGATACTTTAAATTCTACTGTTGACAGTTGTTTCCCCTCTGTTAGAAGGCAAATAGCTTCTAGTGAGAGGATATCCATTTACTGTCAGTCTGTTGCACCTTAATAGGAGGGATTTTCTCAGCCATTTCTGCATGGCAGGTTTTTGAGAAAAGCATATGGCAGGAAAAGGAGGCCCAGGGGAGGAACCACAGCCACACCAGTGGTAGACTGTTATTCCCACGATCAAGAAAATTCTGTTATGATTCTTGAGTTAAGCCTTTTGCTAGTGTGTATTAGACAAGATATGATTATTTTTTCCTGAGTTTTATGGCTATGAAACTGTTTTGTTTTTAAAAAGAGCAATAAATCTCACCTCTTCCACTTTCACTTCAACACAAATTTGTGTGGCAGCCTTCTTTCTGGCCTATTTTGGTGAGACTATCTTGAGTAGACTTCTGTGTGTACATGACCGAGGGCTCTATGTCAGAGGAAGCTCATGCTAAGTTTTGATGGCTTATTTCAGAAATTTATTCCTCATTCACGTCACACTGCAGCCAAAGGGAGTGGATGTGGCAGGGTGTTTCATATAGTCCTTCAGAGACACAGGCTCTTTCCATATTTTTGTCCACAGCCAATTGGGCATTGTCGCAAGCCAGGGGAAAAAGAGTTGTGCCTTGGCCTACAAGTGATACACTGGTAGCTTACATTCCATCAGTGGGCACTAGTCCCAGGGGTCATTCTGATGGAAGGAGATTGGGAGACAGTTTAGCTGTGCGCCTAGCAAGAGGAGCAGCCTTGGGAGCCTCTCATTTACACAGGTATATCAGAACACATTTCTATGTCTTGCTTCTGTTTGTGATATAACTTGACCACTTGGAGGTTGTCACAAAGAAGACACTAGCAGCAACCTAAGAACTGTCTTATGTTTAGAAAAGTGAAAAGTCATTCATTCTACTTGGTAAAGACATTTTCCCTAGATTTTTTGCTGTGCAAGGCAGCACAGTCTTGACTCAGAAAATACCTGTTTTGTTTGTTTCCTTCTTTATTTGCTTTGATTGAAAGTAGGAAAAAGTTCATGGAAATTTTTCATGCATACATCTTGGAATTACCTTAGAACAGGAGTTTTTGGTTTCAATGATGTGGCTTCCTTAATATGTTACACTTTCCCTTGGAGATGAGAGTATGTTAGTGTTTGTGGGAGGATGAGAGATCTTGTACTCCACCTCTTTAATTTATGTAGACAGGAACACGGAAGGGAATGGGGTTGTCCAGATTCACAACTAGGTAGTGGCGCACATGGGTCTTAATCTCCATGTTATAGTTTTGTATTCTGGCAGTCTTTGCACTACCTGCTGGCTGTTGATAGAAAACTACCATGTAGGCTTGGTGGTGTTGGTGAATGTCAACCTGAGAGAGCAGAGGCTGGATCTGGTGAAACAGAAGGGTCCTCAGAACACTTGGCTTCCCTGTTTGAACATATTTAGGTCAATAGTGTCGGTGTAATGCCTGGCCTGGCAAAAATTTATAATTTTCCTGAGGACATAGGCTTGATTATTTATTCTTTTCAGCTGCTTCTGAATTTCAACTTTTTAACTATGTTTACTTTTAAATACTTCTTTCTAATTATAAAATAATACTATAGAAATTAAGTAAATATATACAAATATAACAAAAATACATATAAATTAACAAAACTTGCCTGAATTTCTATAATGTGACAATGCATTATATGTACATGCTTATATACAAAGGTTTGAGATTGTGCAATGTGAAATAAATAATATGCAATCTCTAAAATATTTCATACTATGCAATATGAAATACCATACAGTCCTTAAAAGTTAAGTAATGATATAGAAAGATTCACATATATATCTGTATACTTTTGCATAACATAATATTAATATTATTTGCTTATTTTCTTTTTATTGGAAATAAAAAGTTGAGAGCTCTGCATTCCATACGCTTTGTAAAAAAAATTTTAAGTTTTAGAGGTTGCATAATACTGCATCTCATGAAAATATACAATATTTCAAATAATGGCTGAGGAGGGGAGACGGGGAAAGAGTGGTATCTTTGGTTCTTTGGCTGTGATGCTGTTCCTCTTCTCCCAGGGCATCAGCAGCCTGTTCAGCTCTTTGAAGGTTGTCCGTCTGCTCCGTCTCGGAAGAGTGGCCCGTAAACTGGACCACTACATTGAATATGGAGCTGCCGTGCTGGTCCTGCTGGTCTGTGTGTTCGGGCTGGCTGCACACTGGATGGCCTGCATCTGGTACAGCATTGGGGACTATGAGATTTTCGATGAGGACACCAAGACGATCCGCAACAACAGCTGGCTGTACCAGCTGGCGATGGACATTGGCACACCTTACCAGTTTAATGGGTCTGGCTCAGGAAAGTGGGAAGGTGGTCCCAGCAAGAACTCTGTCTACATCTCATCGTTGTATTTTACCATGACCAGCCTCACCAGCGTAGGCTTTGGGAACATTGCTCCATCCACAGACATTGAGAAGATTTTTGCAGTAGCTATCATGATGATTGGCTGTAAGTACAACCGTGCTGGGGTGGACATACCTTCTCAGTACACAGTGATTACTTTCATTGTGGCGAGCTGGTACATGTATATAACACATACTAGTTCTTTTCTACCTCCTCCCCCACCTTTCCCTGTCTTCCCCCTCCATCCATATCTTGGTCCCTTTCCTTCTTGAAAAAGATTTATCTCCCTGTTTCCTATGATCTATCTTTTATTTTGTTCTTTATTTATATTTTGGGTTTCTGATATAAGAGAAACCATGTAATCTTTAATCTTGTGTGTCTGATTTATTTCACTTAACATTACGGTCCCTTTGTGCACCTATTTTCATACAGATGACTCAAGGTGAGCCTGCCTGCTGGTCATACCTGCTGTTGGCTAGAAGTAGGGTAGTGGCTACTGTGCCAGCAGGATCACGGGTATAATAACTTACAGTAAGGGGCAGTGTTTTCATTAACACTAGCTTCAGAGTGCTCCTAGTAGCTAAAGGCCATATGTGCACACTACAACACAAATTGAGAAAATACAAAAAAATATGCAGTAGAAAATGAAGGTTATTCATAACTGTGTCAGAATTAACTACTGTTACTTTTTGGCACCTTCCCTTGTATTTTTCATGCATATCTGAACACACAGGTGCAGATTTTTATGAAGCTAAATGAGATATGTTACATACACATTTTGGTTCAGTGTTTCTAGCACAGTGAATTGTGGAAATCTTTTCATGTCAGTTTAGTTTGGGCTTTTGGGTAAAAAATACGCAGTGTGATATTTTGATGTACATAGTGAAATAGTTGCTTCAACAAGGCAAGTTTACATACCCATCTCACCTAGTTGTCTTTCCTGTTTTTCTTGATAAGAATTCTTGAAATCTGTCAGCAAATTTCCAATATTCATTACATTATTATTATTATTTTTGTCTTTCTGAGACAGGGTCTCACTATGCAGTTTGGCTGGCCTTGGGCTCACTTTGTAGCCCAGGCTGGTCTTGAACTTGCAACGATCCTCTTGCCTCAGCCTGCTGAGTGCTGGGATTACAGGCTTGTGCCACCACATTATAGTATCATTAACTGTGGTTATACTACAGTGTGTCAATTTAAACATAGCTGTAGGTCTGCACAGAACAATACAGTATGAGAAAAAAATATCTAAAAGGTATATAAAATACTTCCTTTACTATCTTCTATTTTGATTGTATATCAAAAAGATAATATTTTAGATTATATGAAATACTGTTACAATTAATGTAATTTTTCTTTTTTCTTTTAAATATGACTCATAGGAAAATTTTAAATCTTCTATTGAACAGCACTCATTTAGATCAGTATTTTTGATATCAGCCTAATAGTTGAAAATTTTTCCAACTCATCAAAACAAAACAAAACATGCATGTCCATATACCATGGGCAAAAAAAAAACCCCAAAACCAAAACTCTTGTTTAATTGGGAAGGAATAGATTAACCAAGTAATTTTCCTGGACTTAAAATTAACACATTCTTGGGGTAGGATCATTCACCCACTGACCTTGAGTCTGGCAACTGCTTTTGACTGTAGACGGTAAGCTCCCTTCGCTCAAGGGAATATTAGGGACGGAAACCTAATTACTCAAAAAAAGCAAAGAAGCTTGAGTGACTTGTGAAGCTGCCAAGTATGTCCTGTTAATGCCTCTGTGATGATGGAGACAAAGTCAAGGCAGTCCTGGTGAGTCCTCATTTGGATAGTGGTCTGGTTATACAGGAGGACTCGTGGGCTCGGGCTCAGCAGCCTGATACACTTCCTCACAGTGAAGCTGATAAATTAATTGTATCAACCTTGGGGAAGCCTGAGGCTGCAGCTGCACTTTGTTGAGCTGACTAGAGATCCTGCATCTTGGTCTCTGTGTGGATCTTATTAGCCTAGATTGTCACCTTTGCTGCTTACCACCTCCTTTGTCCCAGTTACCTTATCCCATCTGATGTTGTTCTTTTGTGAAGCCTGTCTGCTGGCAGTTTGCCTGTGAGTACTTGCAGCGTGGTCTGAAGGGTGACTGATGGGACGTATGTGTCTGTGGAGTGCTTGGATCTGCTCCTTGCTTTACAATGAGTTAGTAGAGATAATTTCCTGGCTATGGGACGCAGTATTAGGGAAACATTAACTTCAAGAGAGTTTGAAAAACAAAAGAGTTTAATATTTTCAAGATGCCACCATCACATACTTTTTACTTCTATAATTCTTTCTCTAAAATTATTAGTGAGTAGCTAATTGTTCAGGTTTACTTAGAACTTGAGCTTTTTCGTGTCACAGGAAAGGATTTAAGTCCTTCATTTTTCTAGAAAGGTTTTAGCATCAACTGCATGTTTCCCAGCCAGAACTTTCAGGGTTTTTACTTGTTTACTTTTAATTTTATTTTTGTTTTGTTGTGTGTATGGACCTAGTGCCCTATGGATGCTAAGTGTGTGCTCCTGCACTGAGCTGTACTCCCTGGCCTGCTTGCAACACTTTTCTGAGGCTTGAAGAGAATCCAGCAATCAACCAGATGCATTGTACTCAGGACAAGATTTTGTTCTCTCAATGGGGAGATGAGATGCTTTGTCAGTTAGAACTCATCACTATAGCCATTTCAGAGTATTTGCTGAGAGTGGTCAGTTGCACAGTGTGTCTATTTCAAGGGCTCTCCAAAGTCTTTCAAATACCAAATTTCCCTGCAACTTTTTACCTAGAAGATAATAGGTCTGGTTAAGAAATTTTTTTCTCCAAAACCATTCTATGGGGAACATAAGTTTTTTAAGTATCCAAGGAAAACTCAATTATTACCATTTGTTTTCTTTTGCACCTTCTCTGAGTCAGATGCTCTTTGCCTTTCTTTATATAAAAGTTTAATACATAGATAGTACCCCCTGCAGCATGCAGCCTTGTGTGATGTTTAATTTAGTGACTGTAGTAATGCTTCCTGAACTCTTGGTATGTTGCCAGACACAGTGCTGGTACACTGCACATAATTCCTTATTACCTATGACAACTGTGTACATTAGAGATAGTTACCTCCATTTTGTAAGGAAACGGAGACTCAGAGAAGTTAGCTCACTTTCTCAAGAACATGGGGCTGATAGAGAGGATTAACAAGGTACAGGTCTGGGCCCCACTCCTAAGACGGTGATAGGGTAATAATACTAATGTTGCAGTGTGGTGGGAAGGTCCAGCCTCTGACAATGCTTCTCGCTGACTCATTGAAACTTCTCTCTTGTAACCTTTTGCAAGCTGGAAGTTTCTGCAATGGAAACATTTTCTATGATTGTTTGTTGTTGTCATTTTAATTTAAGAACAAGATTATGTTACAGAGTGCAAGGACTAGGGTGCTTAGGAAACCAGCCATTTTTCAGCAACCTGTCACTTATAGTTATAGCTCTTTCACTTCCTGTGTGACACAAGCCTGACAAATTCTTGTGCTAACAAGAAATTTATTGCCCTCTGTGTAATTAATGGTAATTATCCATGTATACTCACATTCTGAACACACTTTGATCAGGATCACTGCTGATGTCTTATTAGATTTATGGAATTCTCTTACCCTGCTTGCCTGTGCATGTGTTCACACTTCTCTCCTATCTGTACAGCTCATAAGGTCAGACTGGCAGCAGCGTTGGGATCATCCTACATGGTTGCATTGGTCACATCTGCATTTGATCCCAGGCTCTCAGCTGCCCCCCTGCCAGGTCACTATGACAGACATTAAGTGGTGGGTTGAGGGAGGAACACAAGGCCCATAAACTTCTGGAATACCGATTATGTTATGTTTTTTTTTCTTCTTCGCAGTAAAATTCACTGCATAGTTAGTAATTGTATTTTTTGATAAGTCTGTTACAGTGTATTAGCCATGATATAGATTATCCATGGTTTTTATTCCTTCTCTTTTTTTGCTTGGAATGTCATGTTACAACTTGGCTTATTCCCTAGAGGATGCCAAGAAGTAGAAAAACTAAATATTTGCAAAGTAGCCACTTTCCTCAGCACTAATAAAAATTTTCATTATGAAGAGGTAAAATCGGTTGGCTAACATAAGTTTTTTTTCCAGTGCTGATTTTTTAATTATGTTTGCAGTACATAAATTATTACATGTAACAAACATGTTTGCAGTGCATAACTATTACATTCATTGTGGGGAGTTGGTGTATGTGCATAACACATCTTAATTCTTTTTTATCCCCTTTGCTCTCCCTCCCTCACCTCTCTCTCCTTCTCTTGTTCTCTTTTACTTATGGAAAAGTACTGTCTCCTTGTTTCCTATTACATTTGTAGGAAGATAAATGTATATCAATGCCATTATGTTAAGTGAAATAAATAAGACGTATAGCTTAAATATTACATGGTTTCTCTTACATAAAAAACCTAAAGTAAATGAAAAAACAAAATAAAATAGAAGTAAATTTTTGTACTTAGCTGCAGGCAAGATGTGTCATGATGTCTGTATTCTTTGCAGGGTTGGCTTGGTGTTCATGAAATTCTTCAGCTGTTCTTTGTCATGGAAATATCTCATTTCTCCATTCATTCTGAAGGACAATTTTGCAGGGTTTATCAGTCTAGGTTGGAAATCATTTTGCTGTAGGATCTGGAATACTTCACTCCATGCTCTTCTTGACTTCGTTGGTTGTGTTGAGAAGTCTGCTGTGATTCTGATAGGCTTTCCTTATAGGTTATCTATCTTTTCTAACAGCTTTTAATATTCTGTTCTTATGTTGGATTTCTGGGATATTGATTATTATATGTCTGGTTGTAGTTTTATTTTGGTTATGGCTATTTGGAGTTGTATGTGCTTCACCAATCCATAAGTCAGTTCCATTCTCATATTTGGGAAATTTTCATTTATTACTGATGTAAATAGCCTCTTGATAGCATTTATGTTTCCCCCTTCTTTTTCATTTATTCCTATCAAACTTACATTGTTTTTCTTTGTATCATCTTGCACCTGTTGAACTTTTATTTCCTAATTCCTTATTATTTTTAGAAAATCTTTCCTTTCCTGTTCACTGG